TAGAGTATATAATAATAGATATTATAAACCATTATGAACATTAAAATAAGCTTTATAAAGATATGGATGGCAATGATAAACATAATCTCAGATTTAATTTGCTCAGTGAAAATAAAGATGTTTCTTAACGATGGCTTCAAATTCTTACTTGCACCTCCAACCAAAATTATTTTGCTCATAAATAATCAACAAACTACATCATCAGATTTGATCTTCTTATTGCTAGATGCATCATAATCGTTCCAGTTTCTAATCAATCTTCTTGTCATAGTCATTCCTGCACTTGCACTTACAACAGACGAAACACGTGTTCTTGGTGATCATACAAGCCTTGTAATAAAAAATTAGTAATCAAACACGAGAATTAACAAGATTCACAAGTGAAAACAAATACAAAATTTTTTTGAGCATATACGTGACTTTTTCCTATGTCATTTCTTCTTGTAATCAGAAGCAAAATACCAAGTTTAGACAAACCCTAAAAACTCCAAACACTTGAACAAACATTATATTATTTTTCCAACTATCACAGATAATCATAATCAACAAAGCTTTAATAATTATATGATCACAGGACATCATTATTTTAATCCTCAATGCTCAAAAAATTAAGAATCACAATCAAATTTTGGTTATTACCCTAAGTTGATTGCTTAGAATTACTAGTAATAACTTTAAAAGCAAATCCAAACAGCCCTAAATTGATAAGTTTAGGGAAAAACATGAGAGCAACATTTTTTAGATAAAATCTAAAAACATGTATGCCAATTTAGAATTTTGGTTGAAAGCAAATTTGATGTGCAAAAACCACATATATATATAATAAATAAATGCCATAGCTTTACTTATAATAGAAAAACATGTATAGAAGAAGAAAACTACTTACAAAGAGGCCGATGAGGAGTGGTGGTCTCAAAGAAACGCATCTAATTCCAAATGTAGAAACTGCAAAAAAAAACCATCAAAATTAATGATATAGGACAGAAATCAAGAGTTAGAAGGATAGAAAATATAAGGTACTTGCAATGATAAGCCTTCCACCAGTAGATGACAACTGCAACTCATATTCTGATCTATTACCAAAAGGGCATTTATGTCTTTTTGCATAGTAATGAAGTAATATAAAGTAATGAGTACTGACCTTGACTTGCTTAATGAAAGAAACAACACTCAACATTCCACTTCTTGATAATCAGACCAAATTAAAGCGTTATAAGAAGAGATTTAGGGATTTAAAACATAATAGGAAGATATAAATCATAATTAGAAGAGATATATCTCTGCATCTACAGTATTGACACTTCCCTTATGCATGATTTAGATCTTTAGCAAGCTCATATGTAATCAATACCAATCGAATGTAGTGATTGCATGTAATCAAACCTGAAAACAAAAAGAAATTCCTCAACATTTTTATATCCCCTTCTTAATTACAATTGAGAACAAATTTATGGAAAGACTTATCAAAAACATCATAGAAGATCAACTCCTAACTTATCAACAAGAGTATCACCTAATCAACAATCTCAAATAAAACATGTTTAGGGCTTACCTTTACACTCGATTATAGGCTTCTAAGCTCTTGTACCGTTGAGATGAAGACCCAAAAAAAACTGAGAAAACAACAATGGGGATATGGGGCTATTTAGTGAGAAACTCACCGAAAAATGTTTTGATAGGAGACGGAAGGAGCCTAATGGCATCGATCCTGGAATTCTTAATTCCATCTAAACTCGATTCGTGATCCGACTTGGCACCTTATCCAGATCGACGGTTTTATATTGTTTTCTCCACAAAATCGTCAGTACCTTGATTATGAAGAGAAGTTGTTCATACTATTTTCAAGCAGCCAATAGAGGATGAACAAGGGTTAGGGGAAACACGATCGACGATATGGGCTAAGGCGCTATGTGGAGGAGCCAGGGTGGAGGGACGGATAGGTAACGATGACCCCATGAGAGAAAAACGAAATAACGAACCCTAGTGGTTTACATTATGTTGGGGGTAATGGGAATTTGGAAACCTGAGCGGTATGTGAGTTGATTTTCAATATTCAGGATTGACATCTTCGATTGTCGATAGCAGACGTTTGGATCGATGGTGCAATGGAGAACGCGATTGGAATTTCCGATATCCCTCATGGCCTAAGTGTTTCAACATTGAAGATAATAGATATTAGGTTTAAAGAGGAGGGAATTACTAAATCTAAAAATTTTCACGTAGAGGGGATCTGAAACTTTTGGAATGGAAGAATGAGAGAATAAACCAAAAATGAAATTTTAATATTTCTATAAAAATTGCAAATAAATGATTTTTTCTTTTATAATTTTTCTATTTTTTTTAGAAAGATAACTTTCTTATCCAGGGTTTCCGGACCGGTTTTAATTTTTTCATAAAATTACAAATAATTTTTTTTCATTGATAATATTATCTATTGTTTTTATTATTTAAAAAATAATATCTATGTTTTTATTTCTATCATGAAATTAAAATCTAATATATAATTATTTTGTTATAAGTTCTTTATCCATATGTATGTGTGTAAGTGTAAATGAGTCTGGTTGAGGCCAATCCATATCCATAAGTCATAACCCTAATTTATAATCCCGAGACATAAGCCCTAAATCCTAAGCATAAGCCATAAGCCCGACTCCATAAGCCTTAATCCTTAAGCCCTAAGTCATAAGCCATAAGCCATAAGCCATAAGCCATAAGGACTAAGGACTAAGCTAACTATAAGTCATAAGCTCTACACCTTAAGCTTTAAGCAATATGAGTTTAGCCATAAGCTTTAATCGCTATTTTGTAAGCCTTAAACCATAACCCATAAGGATTATGGTATGTCATTTAAGAATTATGGCTTATGACTTAAGATTTATGGTTTATAGTTTATTGCTTAAGAATTGTATCTTTTGGATTATGGCTTGAGACATATGGATTATGGCTTATGATATAAGTCATAATCCATAAGCCATATGTCATAAACTTTAAGCCCTAATCCATAAACTATAAGCCAGAAGCCTTAACTCCTAAGCTATAAGCCGTCAAACATATATCATAAGATATTTTCATACAAAATAGACCTGAAGCCCCAACTCATAGGGCATAAGCCATAAGCCTTAAGCCTTAAGCCCTTCGCCCTTACTCACAAGCCATACACCTAAGACATAAGCATAAGCCTAAGTCATGACCCTTGAGCCATAAGCCATAAGTCATAAGCCACCTATCCATACCTACAAACCCACACATACACCCTACCCTATTACAAATCCATATATCCACCCACCCTACCCAAACCCAACTTTACATACATGTATACACCCACACACACCCATACACAATCTTCCCATATTTGCCAAAGCACGCCCACCTACACCTATACCCAATACCTACCTCATACAATCGACCTTCACCTACAAACCCACACCAACACCACTCCATATAAAATTTAATATTAATAATCTATATATTCAAATAAAAATATCAATATATTAATATGATAGGCTTTGACTGATATTAACTAGAACCAACTAGCCCGACCAATTGTCTTTATTCGTAATCAGTTAATGACTTTCATCTGATTAATCAATCACTAAGGGTAATGTGGGGATGTAGGTATGGGTGTGTGTGTGTGTGTATGTGTATGGATTGGGTTGTAGGGGTGGTGTTGGGTAGGATATGTGGTATGTAGATGTGAGCTAAAGCCTAAAACCCTAACTACTAAGCCATAATCCTATACCCTAGACATGTATCACAAGCCACAAGCCTCAAGCCTGAATGAATAAGCCTTAAGCCTAAATCCATATTCACTAATATATAAATCTTAAGTCAAAACTCATAAGCCATGATGCATAAAGCATATGTAAATCTAAAGCTATAAGCCCCAATTTTAAGCCATTAGCCCTAATTTTTAAGCATAAGTCATAAGCTCTCAGTCATAAGTCATAAATAAAAAGTCATGATCCATAAGCCATAATTAGACTAATTCATATGCACTAAGCCTAAGGCCCTATGCTTTATGCCCTAAACATAAGTCATAAGCCCTCAATCATAAGTCATGATCCATAAGCCATAATTGGCCTAATTCATATGCATTAAGCCTTAGGCCCTATGTTTTATACCCTAAGCCCTAAGCCCTAATACCTAAGCCCTCATCAATAAGAATTGAGACTTAAGTAATTAATCATCAACCATAAGAATTAAATCTAAAGGTTAGGGCTTAGAGCTTAATGCTTAGGCTAACGAGAGTAGTCACCACCAACCCATTAGAAAAGTGCTGCCAGCTCAACGCCACATAAACTCCACTACAAGCTTATTACCAAACCACTAGCCTTTTGAAATGATCACCAGTCCAAATTATTTATTTATTTATTTTGATATTAAATTAAATAAAAAAAATTTAAAACATAAACCTTAGCATATCACATGCAAAGAAAATGGTCAAAAAAACTTCTTCATCCGTCTCCATAGCCACTCCACAACCAAGCCACTGGACACTGGGGAAGTGTTCACACATGACTTGGTTGTCCACCTTAGTTTTGACGCGTATTTTTGGCACCCATTCTAGATAGCCTTGATGCTTAGTGCTTAGGACATAAGGTTCACGGCTTATAACTTAGAGCTTAAGGCTTATGACTTATGGATTGGGGTTTTTAGTTTACATTTTTCAAAACCCTACCACACAGTAGACTAAAACAACATAAGTAAACAAGTAAGAATTTTGATAGTTTTTCTCTACATTGGAGTTCAAACAAACCATAGGAAAATCATATATATTTTTTCTATTTTATATAATCAATATTAATTAATATATTTTTTAAATTCTATTATTAATCTAACTTTTTTTAAGTATATATTTCGTTGATACAAATTTTCACCAAAAAATTAAGATTGCCACACTTATTTTTCATTTCCCTCTTCTTTCTTTATCAAACTTTGCACTCTCCTTATCCTAATCGTGTTACCTCACCAGTGACAAACTCCCTAACCTTCATTGGCGAATGACGTCTACCCCCACGAAACCCCTTACGTTAACATCCCTTGTGGGTTGTCGCCACACTATCGACCTACACTGCCGCACATCTCAAACATCGCCGTCCTCGATACCAATTGAGATTCCATCTCCAATTTCAAGCAATCGTTTCCACTTGCCCTTATCCCAAAGACGCAAAACGATCTCACGACTCTCGTTGTTCTTTTGATTTCCTTCTCTATTGTTTCCACTTGCTAATTAAGTTCGAGAGTCTGAGACGTAGAACAGGTCTGACAGTATCAAGCCCTTTGACTACACCTCGTCGCCTCCGCCTGAAGCACCTCCGCTTCCAGGTCCTCATGGCGCTTGCTCATCTTGTTGTTCTGAGCTTAGTTATGCAGATCCGACGGTATATTGCCATCGTTTAGTTGTGTAAATTCACAATTTCACAGATTTACAGCTTCACAAATTCATGGTTTCACAATTTTAATGAATTTTGTTTTCATTGATGGATAGTTCTAATCAAATTCGTTTTTATTGATTGAAAATTTTAAATGTTTAGCATCACAGATTCATAGAGATTCTTGTTCACACGGTATTGGACTTGTCTCATCTGTTTCCCCTCCTCCAGATGACCCCTCGGCTGTCATAAATTCTGCTTAATATTGTTAATTTTTTTTCCTAATACTGTTAAAAAAACTGCAATATTAAAGTTATCAGCCAATGAAGAGTTTATATAACCGATAATGTTTGAAATTTGATTATTTATATGTTTGTTTGTGTGTTGACTAGTGGTTCCTTAAAGAGATAACTCGAGATATTCATAGTGCAGATGGGGAATGGAGAATAATTCTGTTGAGATACTTCAATCCTATTGGAGCTCACGAGAGTGGGAAACTTGGGGAAGATCCCATTGGGATCCCAAATAATCTGATGCCTTACACACAAAAACTAAGTAGTTGTTAGAAGATTACAAGAGTTGAATGTTTATGGTCATGATTACTCTACAAAAGATGGCAGTGTTGTATGTATCTATCTATTCTTCTTATAGCAACATACTACTTCCTTTAAATTGATTTTTCTTATAATTTTTTATTTATCTTTGCAGATCCGGGATTACATCCATGTGATGGATTTAGCTGATGGTCATGTTGCAAGACTTAAAAAGCTAGAGGAATTGTGTTATATATTTTATGGTGGTGGTTTGCAGGGCAAAATATGTGATAAAATGATTATTTTCGTACTGAATGTCATGGTATTCTTATACGTATGGTATGTGTTTCTTAATGTCATGAATTACATTTGTAGCGATTATATTTTTCCTTCGTTTAGCATATAAAGATCTTTATTTTTGTTTGTAGAAGGGAAAGGCCAAACCTTGATCCTAGCGTGACGTGGAGAATAAGAAAATGACAAAAAAATGACGACATACATTCCTTAATATCTTTTTACCATATAATACCATCAAATTTTTCTGGTGTAATATTGTTATAACACAAAGTCAAATTTTTTCAATTTTTTACTATAATGGTGGATGACATGTTATAACATAAACTGCATATTATAGCAATGTACTTTCGTTATGCAATGTTAGACAAAGTTGTATTCTTTTCATTTATTTATCATACTTTTCTGTTAAAGAAAGTTGTATTCTTTTCATTTTTTAATGATGTATGATCTAGTGCAATTAAAAAAATAGATTACAAAAGGGCAATTTGGCCCTTTCTTATATAGTTATTTGTTTTGTTTTTATTTTTTTTTAGTTTTTTCATAAATTGTTTCTGACTTTACAAAATTGTCATTCAATTTTTTTCATTAATTTATACAACAACCCTTTAATTGCAAAAAAAAAAAAGCAATGTACTTTTGTAAAATGCCATGATTGAACTTTTTGTTCATTTTTTATTCTGCCAAATGATATCAAAGATAGATATGGTCAAATTTAAGAGTCTTCCAAATACAATAGTACAACCAGAATGAACATTACATAATTATAGTAACATATTCAATGAACGACCCATAATTATACCGATAAGACATTATTGTTCTTTTATAACTATATTTGCATATAGACACATATAATAGTTGTAATCGTAACTAAATGCCACCTACACACACTATTTGCTTCTTTTTAAAGCCAATTCATAATATTTTGACATACTGTCACACCCCAAAACCAGAACGGCGGAAACGTTCTGGTGTGGATGACGTCATGTCAAGTATTACAACACATGCATTATAGTAATCAAAGTACAATAAAACATTTCATTAATAGTAATAGTTTACATGGTTTACATTACAATACATCAAAGTAATACAAGTAAGTATATAGATGCAGCTTGGTACTAAACTGTCTTCGACAGAAGCTCCTGGATTGTACCTGTCTAATGCTGACCTGAGAATACAGGTTATTTGAATAGCGAGTATCAGCATTTTTACAAATGATGGTGAGTTCATAAGCATTTATTGACATTTTATTCAAATAACTTTATGTAAGTGGTAGTTTTCAAGTATACAGTGAAATAGAGTCCTTTCCAGAAAATCCTATATTTTCTAATTAAAAATCAGTCTTCTACCAAGACTGGTCAGAGTTATGTGGTAAAACATAGTTTTCCCTTAAACACTTTGATTATCAAAATACGGGATTTGCTTTTTAAGAAAGTCGAAGAATATCAGGGAAAATAACATATGCCTTAGCAGTGAGGACTGTTGACTAAGGCAAAAGAATCATAGACTCCAGGAGAGTATCGAATGAACGACACGCCTGACTCAGTCTAACAAAAGAGACACAGACCCCAGACGATACCAAATGAAAGGTACAACTAATAAGGTCTAAAACAGTGAACACAGACCCCATACAGTATCAACCGAATGATACGTCTAGCAAGGTCTAAAACAGTGAATACAGTGAATACAGGGAATACAGACCCCAGACAGTATCAAATGAATGATACGTCTAGCGAGGTCTAAAACAGTGTGACTCCGAGAGTGGGTTCCAGCATACCGCGTAAATTACTGGTGAAAAACCATTACCTTAAGGCCATGAATTGTAAGGTAATCTGGGATACTCGTAACCATACTAACCGACACAAGAGTACCTGACGCCCTACAAGCGTCTAGAGAATATGACATTTGTCACCCCTTGGCTTGGTAGGCCGTGGACTGTAGCTAGCAGTCAGGGTGCGGGGGTGTCAATCCCGTATAGATCTATACACACAATGTCCGCTCTCCCTACAGGAGACTCTGGTTACCAACTAGACGACGGAGAAGGCCGTGTCCCGAAGATGCATCCCTAATAGTGGGTAGTGTGTTTCCAATACAGTGTTGAACTAGAGGTAGAGACTCATCACTAAACTGACTAATGTAAACCCATATGACTATGCTTGCATACATAATATATAGTTAATGATCAAACGACCTTCAGACGGACATCCGATCCCACCAGACCACATCTCAACGAAGAAAAGGAAATAGGGCGAACAAGCCTTCCTAAGTCCTTCAATCATTATTTATATGCATCTATACTAGCACATGCATACTTTTAACTATGTGTAAGTGTTATCAGGTATAAGCGTATAATGAAGTGGAGACATTCTCAAGTATAAGTGTATCATGAAGTGGAGGCGTTCTCAAGTATAAGTGTATCACGAAGTGGAGGCGTTCTCAAGTATAAGTGTATCACGAAGTGGAGTCGTTCTCAAGTATAAGTGTATCACGAAGTGGAGGCGTTCTCAAGTATAAGTGTATCACGAAGTGGAAGCGTTAACTAAACAGAAATAACGCAGTGGTATCTTAACCAAGTGGAAGTATAAAAAAAACATAGACGAAAACTTTGGAAAACCTTTATATATTAAGAAAATCACGACCTGGTATTCCTTTGTAAAATAAGTTTGAAAATCTTTAAAAATCCTTTGAAAACCTTTCATAAACAAGTTTAAAATGAAACTTTGATTAAACATCATAAGTAAAAGCTAAACAAATAACTTATGTTTTTAGAAAACCATTTACAATGTCATTCTTGGTAAAAACAGTTAACAGTGTGGTAAATCCTTGTGCATGCGGGTTATCAATCACATGTGATTGCTATGATAACTGGCATGTTTAACTTGTATTGTAAAAACATTTAAAAGGTTCATTCAGGGGTATGAACTCACCTGGTGTAAGTGGATCCGACAAAGGCACCGATTGGGTGCTCGGTTTCAAATAAGGACTTGAACACACTTAGAGACCTATTTAACAAATGATAACATATGTTCACATACAAATAGTATATTTAATACTAATTAAACAAGTATACGCACTCTAAGGAGCTGAAAACACTTTGGTTAAGTGTTTGGGGTGTCCCGGGTTACATTTAAGGGCTTGAATGGCTTAGGAATGGGGTTTACTCTCCAAGAGTAAACTCTCCATAGGGTGTTTATGGCACTGGGACAACTCCCCATGAGTTTACGGCTGTAAACTCATGGTGAGGGGTTTCTAGGATGTTTAAAGGCTTTATCTTCATCGTGGAATTTTGCTAAGTCCAAAACTAAATTGTATGAGTGGGTTTAGGGCTTCTAAAGGGACCATATGGGAGTTTACGGCCCATGAACCACCACTATGGGAGTTCATGGCCGTGAACTCCTACCCTCTTGATTTTATGGAAGTTTAAGGCCCTTATTCCAATCCTAGTAATTATTCAAGGCTATAGGGGTGTTTGGGGTTCCAAGAGTGCACTCCCTTGGAGTTTATGGTCCAAATGACCACTCCTTGGGAGTTTACGGCCGTAAGCTCTTGGCTTGGCCATGAACTCTCGTGCACCCCTTCAAACTTTGATTTTAAGCCCTTGAATCATCCCTAGCATTTTCTAGTGAAGGTATAAGGCCAATTTGGGGGTTTAAACTCTCATTTGGTGAGGTTTGGGGGTGTTTACGGCCTAAGCACTTGCTTGGGCCATAAACTCCAATTTACCCCTCAATTCTTAGTGTTTAATTGTTCTAAACCCGAAATAGCATGTCCTTAATTTATGTCTTAAGCCTAAGGGTGGTTTGGGAGTGTTTTTGGGGCATTTTTGCAAGGATTAGAGGTGTTTACGGCCTAAGCATGTGCTTGGGCCGTAAACTCTCTTTTATTCCCTAAAACCTTGTGTTTTGATGTCTAAACACTCCTAGATAAATTCCCTAACTAGTTGTGACAACCCGAAACTTTCATCCTATGTAATTGGTCCGCGTATTGTCTTTAAATCTTGAATTCATCACCCTTTGTAAATCTTGTGGTTCCGAATGTGTGTTTTGGACACAATATAGTCTAGATATGGGTCTTAAGAGGTGTTGGAAAGTGTTTTGCATCATGAAATCGGATTAAACATACCAGAAGAGGTGTGTGCGGCCACACTTTTGTGTGTACGACCACACACCCATGTGTGCGGCCGCACACCCAACCGCACACCCTCCAGCCTCACACCCAAACATATATATAGCTGGGTACCTTCTTCATTCATTCATTTGGATACTCCTTACTCTCTCCCTACTTTCTCTATCTAAAATCTTGAACCAAAAACACCTTGAAGACCTCATATTTGTGATCTAGTTCATCTTCAAGCTTATTAGTGGTAAATACTTGAGTCCTAAGCCTTAAAACTCATCATGTTCATCATATTCATGGACCCTTGAAGGTGTATGGCCGCACACCTTCATGAAGGGGCAGCACACATTCAAATCTCCTTAGTGTGAAGAGCAAACACCTCATTTGGACTCACAAAGGGAGTGTACGGCCGCACACTCCTGTGTAGGGCCGCACACACACACTAAACGACCGCACACATTTGTGTGCACCCTCACACACACATCTGGCCGCACACCTTAGCCGCACACTCAATTTCTAGGCCATGCACTCACTCAAATGCCCACTTTTGGCCCTAAACTTGCATGAATCATTAAGTATGGATCATGAGACACTTGTATTCAGTAATGCCGATCCCTGAGAATGTTTATCCATCATGTTTAAGCATGAAACATCCTAGTTCTAACCCAATTGTGTGTCATCACATGATTTATAGGAACCATTGGCAATCAGGGCATCCGTTGACACTCGAACCTGTCGATAAACAGTGAGTTCATACCCCTTTAATGAACCTTTCAAATGTTTTGTATGTTTTAGGGGGGGGGGGGATACAAGTAAATCATATATATTATGGAAATTAATACAAGTCAATTATTCATGTTACGGAAATTAATCACATGTGATTCACTATCCGTAGTTCAAATCACATGTGATTTACCACTATGTTTTTTTTTTTTTTTTTTTTTTTTTTTTTTTTTTTTTTTTTTATAAAAAGGATTTTGTCTACAAAACTATTTTGGATAAATAAACAAGTTTCTAAATATTCACTTTTGACAAGATTTTTATTAAATAAATTCCTTATAAAATGTACCCACACTAATATATTTATATAAGTAAGACTTGAAAGACTTAGGACCGATAGCTCGCCTTATTTCCTGTTCTTGTTTGATTGTGGACTTAGGGTAGTTGTTATCCATCCGACTGTCGTTGATTTCTTAGTTATATATCATATATATTAGCGTTGGATACGAGTATTTTCATTTCATTCGAAGTTTAAACCACTAAACTGACAAGTCTCATACGTACTAAGTTAACTATAATAGGTATAGTTAAGGTCACTATTACTCGCTATAGCTACTACTCT